TAAGTGGAGACCTGTGGTCGCCACAACAAAAACTAAAACAATAAAGCATGCCCAGTACATGATCAACAGTAATGATAAGTATATATGGCACAATAAAATAGTTGCTCATTTACATCTTGCTCAAAATAAACCTCATGGGAAAGACAAGGTTATTTTGTGTTATTGTTCATAAATAAATTATACGGATTGATTATTCTATTTCTATGATGAACAATGATAACAAAGGCTTTAAAGTTTTGGGATTCTGAATGTGGGTCTCATTTTTGTTTAACTGACAAATACTGTGCAGTATTTGAACTTTCCTATCCATATTTGTGCCTTCTTGAACTCATTGAATCAGCACTTAAAGCAGTTGTTGCACTGACTGCAATACATTTAAAGGAGCTGGTAGGGGTCCGAGGCTAAAGGTAGGCAGTTGGAGAGGTAAGGTCAGGGGCTTTAAACCCACCCCTCTGCAGACCAAGTGGCACCCACCATGACTGAAAGTTGAAGCCATTGAAGAACCTACAGCTGCAGTCCCTCTAACAGCCACTAGATGCTGCATCCAACAACACTGACTGTTGATGTGGCTGAGAAACCCCCCCAACATCTCACTGGAATTACAGTCAAGGTAATCCCACATCTTCTAATGTGCTTAGACATTTTGACATGTCAGTAGAAAAGGTCTAAATAATAAAATGAATGATAGCTGAATTTCCATTAAGCTGCTTCAGTTTCAATGTCCCTGTATTGTGAATGTTGACTTACTGTCACACTTAGAGCAGAGCCATCATCAATGTCATTAGTAACACCTGCACTTTATCCTATGGCAAGTCAAAATGTCGGCTGTGAAAAAGGCCCATTGATGACTTTGTGATTGTTCTAAATATTAAAAAGGCCTATTGATCACAACCCTGGTAAACACAGAGGATTTAGTGGCATTTGTGAAGTTAAATACATCTCAACCTTCCAAGCATGCAGGAAAGACTACTGAGAAAAACACGAAAGGCCATTTCTAGTATCAGTGTTTGGTTTGTCCGTTCTGGGCTACTGTAGAATTATGGTGGTTCAACATGACGGCCTCCATGGAAGAGCACCCGCTCCCTCTGTAGATAAAAAAGGCTCATTCTAAGGTAATGAAAATAAAAAAATGTACATAACATACCTATGAATATTATATTCCATTTCTGACAACTGATCCTCAAAAATGTTACAGACTGGGCCTTTAATTATCACGTGGGCGTGTTCAGACTGAGCTTGATTGACATCTCCATGACTCCCCTCCGAGGTCTGTTGCACCTGTTAGGGCAGGACAACTTACACCTTTCATCATTCTTACAGGTCGAATGAATTTACCACATAACTCCCCGTCATTGCTCACCCACCGTCAGCCTGGGCAGAGATCTGATCAGTCCAGATTTGGATTTTCAAACACTTCATACCTGATATTCTACAGCGTTTTTACAATGTTAAAAGGCAACACTTTTCTTTAATTTTCAGTGTAATGTGTTTTTCTTCCAATATGTGACAAGAGCTTCTTTAAAAAGGTCCAGTGTGCAGGATTTAGTGGTATCTAATGGTGTAGTTGCAGATCTTCAACTCACTCGCTTTCCCCTCCATTTCCAAACATAACTACGGTGACTGCGAATCACATGAAAAATGCAAACAGGCCTATCAAGAGCCAGTGTTTCATTTGTCCCTTCTGGGCTACTGTAGAAACATGGCAGTCCAACATGGCAGCCTCCATGGAAGGCAACCCGCGGCATCTGTTGATAAAACAGCTGATTCTAGGTAATGAAAACACAACGATTCTTATATTCAGGTGACCTAAGAATATTATATTCTATTTCTCCTAAATGTCACAGACTGGACCGTCAAGTTCAGTTGTGTACCAAATAGCATTTACCTGATTGTAGGCTAGGATAGATATGCTGATTTCCCATGGCTCTACAGTAGCCATCTAATAGATAATCAGTCAAGTCTCTCCCCACAACTGTTACTGTTTACTCAAATTCAATTGACCTATTTTGGTATCTGGTTAATGTGATCATCTTCTTCATCTATGTCTTAATGCTAACTGCTGCTGGCTACTGTGTGCAAAATGTGGTTATTAACAGTAAAATATTTCTCATTTGTGCTTTAAGATGTTCATGTTTAGAACATGTTGTCAAAAGACTGCATATGAATCACACAGCTACATTCATAAAAACACTGATTAATGTGCATTGTCCTCATAATTTAATTAAATAAAGTAAATGAATCTGTTTTGATTTGCACCTCCTTGTAAAATCTAGCCAGCTTTACAGATTTATACCAGTCTGCTGTGTTTAATATTCATTTTTACAAAATGTCAATAAAATTATTGTATTTTTCAAACAGAGGGTATAGTGTTCTTTTTTCATTAGCGTTGATCATTATTCCCAGGACTGGTCCTTTGAGTGTTTGTCACATGACTTTTAATACAATAAATTTCAGTTTGCCAATGTTTCATTACAGAGATTCATGAATTACAATTGTATTACCACAGAAAAATGTCCAGTAAATAGTGAGATGAGACAAATTATGCCCACAAAACCTTTCACTACTGCTTTTTCCACCCCTCTTCATCCAGGAAGCCCAAACATGTGTGTTCACCGACAGTATGCATGAGCAGCTATCCTGAATCTATTTATTAGCCCCAATTCTCAGCATGTTGTTTACGTTTATTGTGAATCTTTGCACACTGGTGGCTCCTCACTACAGAGAAAGGTAACTGCAAGTAAAAAAGAGAAAATGATTCACTTAAATGTTGAGAAAACCTTTCACCTTTGCATTATTCAATAGTGCCACTGATTTTGTGCTTTAGGTTCAAACTTCGGATTGATAGACCTTAAATGTTCCTACGGTCCATTCAGACTGGGCTATTATTCATCAGTGCAACACTTCAACTGAAGAGCATAAGTAACATGCATCTCTGCCATGAATCAACCTCAGAAGAAAGGTTTGAGAGCCACTTTAAGTCATCCACATGAGAAAGTCCAAGCATAAATGTAGCAGGAGAGAGTAAGAAAGAGCCCTTATTAAAGTGTATAAACATGCACATCACAATACTGAAATGTAAATACTTGCTATTGCTTTATTGAAAACTAATTATCTGCTTATGTTGACCCAATATTGAGAGCAGATAATGGAATGAAGTTAACTATAACTAAAATATCTACATTTTGGGGGTTTTCCAGGCAAAAAATGACATTTGTAATGATTTGCGATTACATCAGCATATATTTCTGCCACCCATTAAAGTCTCCATGCCACCCTCTTGCCATTTCTCTAGATCCGCCCCTGGTTTAAACAAAGATGCATTTCAAAAGTAAGATTATAGGATAATGCTATTCAGAAGTGTCTGCAATGTGAAAATACCTCCTGAGGTAAAATTCTCTTCGTGGAAAGACTCATCAGCTGCACAATTAATCTAGTACATGTATGCAAATTACCTAATTATATTAAATGTAAATTCCCAACGCTCCTAGATGAGATTGCATTGTCTAACTTGAGTACAATGTTATTATTTTTTTAATTCAAAAATAAAAGAAAATATTGTGTTCACTAACGAAGTGATGTGTGCTTTAAACTTCAGTATCTTTTTGTGAGGAATGTATTAATTGGTCTTATGCAGGTTGTAAAACATGATTCTCTTACATAAGATTAGAAAATTGGTTTACATAAACAGTTTTTGAATAAACGCCTAAGTGGGCTGAAATATATTTAAATTAGCTTCATGCAAGTGAAATTCAAGCTTCAGCAGGTTTCTGGTTCTGAAGCCGTATGTTTGTCTTATATTCTTTGTTTAGTAGGACAGACTGTAGACTTTGCTCTGATTTGAATCACATTATATTGCTCAACAGTATTACAAAAATATGGGCAGAAAGTGTCAGGTTAGGGGTCTGGCTCCTTGGCTTCCAGCTCAGATTTATAAAGGCATGGCAGAACCGTAACTATAACTACTACTATCAGTTATTTTTCATTGCCATATACACTGATCTTAGCTGGAAATGTCCCCAGAGTTCTCAGGACAGACACAACTCAGGACATCAAACTACAGCCCTCCCATTCAACACTAAATATCAATGACAGCAATTAATATTTAAACCTGCAGGAGGCGCCAGAGGACGCACAGAGGATAATCTGATGGTGCCTTTATAGTCATTTCACATCGAGAAACCAGGAGTCCATGCATGGGTGTTATGTCTTTACATATCGAGTCTCCGTTAGAGTTAATATGATGCATACAGTTATTTTCCTATAAATACCCAAACTACAATGCAGGTAATGACGGTTCCTACACAGACAGATGGGGATTGGGAGGAAACTACTTCAAACAGATTAACTGTTAAAAACGAAAATAATTAAGTATACGCTCTTAAATCTAAGTAATTAATTTAAATTCAACATATAAGCCGATGAAACCGAGCAAAGAAAGTGAATAAACGAATTATCTGTAACGAAATGTCATTTAAAATGCCAACAGTGACAACTGATCGTTAAATCAAAAAAGATTACTGACACGTTTTAGTTACTTCAAAAGAAGCCTGTCGGAACATACAAACAGACTGTGCCTGCATATGCATTCATAAATATATAATTGCGCTGATGTCGTTAAATGTGTAATGCACGCATTATCACCACATCAAAATGTGTCTTTGACGAATAAAAGAACTGTGTGGGGCAAAATCCCTCCCTAAAAAACATAAAAATATAAAAATCCACATAGCGTTAAAGAATAGGAAAGAAAATAACACTCTTAATCCCTTATCACAAACTTGCACCTTAAACCTAAAACAGTGCACACGCTGATTAAGTCGCGGAAATTGTGTTAAAAAAAAGAAAAAAGAAATAAGGACAATAAATGAAAAGAACAACGATTAGAGAGAGGGAGTGCGAACAGGGAGGAGGGAAACAATGGAGAATCAAAGCATAATAATATTCCTAAATGAAGAGGGAAATGTTGCACCGCTCATTTTATTAATCAGACTGTCAATTTCACCCAAGAGGCCAAACCCAAGAGCAATCTAAAACAGACTCAGAGATCAACCCAGGGACAAGCACCTCGCTCCTCACTCCTCTCTCTTCCTCTCCACTTGGATATTATTCGTCTGACCGAAGGCCGCCTCCATCATCAAGTGACAGCCCTCTCCTATTTATTTGCTTATAAACCTGTTACAATAAATGATCATTGGAGCAACGTCAGCCGAGCATTTTAACAACGAGCAGCAACCACTTTTTTTTTTTGATGAATGACATTTCTGCTGCTGTGGGGAGGATGCACGGCTCATTTTGAGCAGTCGCTCGTCGATTGCATTCAGATTCTTTCATTTTTTGCGTCTTGCTTATAAAAAGGTTTAGAGACAGTTATTTAGAGACAGTTGCTGAGTTGCATGCGGATTTAGCTCCGACACAACTCATTGGTGCTCCAGCCCCCCTTTTGGACAAGTGTTGTGTGGGGTATTTTTTTTTTTTTTTTTTTTTTTTCCCTCCCTTCGTCTTGCACGGCTTAATGATGGAGAGGATAAGAAAAGAGATGATATTGATGGAGAGAGGTCTGCACAGTCCGGTCGCAGGGAAGAGGCTCGCAGACACGCCTGGAAATTCAGTGCTGGAGGCCCTGGAAAACTCTCAGCACAGCGGACGGCTAAGCCCGAGAATAACTTCGGCTTCTCTCCATGGAAACCTGGGGGACATCCCGACGAAAGGCAAATTTGAAATTGAGAGTCTTTTCGGTTCACACCACAACAGTGAGAATACCTCCTCGGCGGAAATTTCCTCGTCAGAAAGCAGGAAGAAGATGAGCCTTTACTCCGAAGTTTCGCCAGATTCAGATATTAACAGTGATGTGGAGGTGGGATGCCCTGCGCACCGCTCCCCGAGCCAGCACAAGGAGAACAACAAAGGTAACATTTGATTCTTTTACTCCAGGTTGATGTGGTTTTCATGTCTGCTGTAGTTTGGTGTTAATATACCGGGGATTATCATTCTCTGCCTCTTTTAAAAAAAATTAAATAAGAAAAAGGGAATTCGATTATTATTATTATGACTATTAGGCTACTATTATTATTATTATTACTATTATTATCATCGCTTCAGCCCCTTTCCAGAATTTTGTTACATAATTTTACTACAATACAGAAATGTAAAAGGCCTATTAATTAAAAAATATGTGTTGCATTTGCCTCTTGACACAAATTTGACATCAACCAGTTTTATTATTATTATTATTATTAATAATAATAATAATATATCAAATTTACTGTAGGCCCACACAAGTGTATTATTTCAAACATAATTCATATCAATAACAATTCGTTTCTCTCTCTTTTTTTAAAAGGTTTTTCAGACAGTAATTCTGGCTCTTCCAGCTCAAACTCCCTCTCGAATATGAACGGTAATTCAACGGGAGGATCAAACAATTCAAATTCCGACCAAGTGAGAAGGTATCGGACTGCTTTCACCAGAGAACAAATCGGAAGACTGGAAAAGGAGTTTTACAGGGAAAATTACGTTTCGAGACCAAGAAGATGTGAATTAGCCGCAGCGCTAAATCTGCCCGAAACTACGATTAAGGTACCGATTAATCTTCATTATTCTTGTCCACTGTGTGTCTGTGTGTGTGTGTGTCTGTTTGTGTGTGTGCATGTGTTTGTGCAGAGAAAGCACTGATGTCAGTATAAAAACAATCACTATTATAATACTCTGCAGCAGAAAATGCATCCATTATTATATTATTATTTCTGCAGTGTGATATTTTTTTATTTTTAACCTGTACACAAAATAACGCTGTTACTTACTGGTCATCCCATTGGATGCTAATCGATTCAACCGGTATGTGTACAATTAATTTATAGGCCAGGCCTACTTCTTCTTCTTCTTTTATTTTTATTTCTTTTAAATGACTGCGAAAAACAAAATATTTCCACTGACACATTTAAGTTAATTGTTTGGACTCCAGCAGCATGCGACAACTGATCCTTTTCATGTTCAGTGACCAGAGCATTTATAGGACATTTTAAATCTCAGTGCAGGGAGATGAGTGTCTGAGCACACGCTGCAACACACACTCTTCAAGGCAGGGCTAAATTTAGAGCTCGGACACAAACATGGCAGCTTCAATATGGGCCTTGTTTTGACTCTGTGTGCAGGTGTGGTTCCAGAACAGGCGGATGAAGGATAAAAGGCAGCGTTTGGCGATGTCCTGGCCCCATCCAGCAGACCCCAGCTTCTACACTTACATGATGACGCACGCGGCAGCTACAGGAAGTCTACCTTACCCTTTCCACTCGCACATGCCTCTACATTACTACCCGCACGTCGGTGTCACGGCAGCAGCAGCCGCCGCCGCCGCCTCCGGCGCCGCCTCGTCACCTTTCGCCACTTCCATCCGGCCCCTCGATACCTTCCGAGCGCTCTCACATCCTTACTCGCGGCCAGAGCTCCTGTGCAGCTTCAGGCACCCGGGACTCTACCAGTCACCCGCAGGCCTGAATACTTCAGCGGCGGCATCGGCGGCGGCTGCGGCTGCGGCGGCGGCGGCGGCGGTCAGCGCCCCGTCAGCCACCGGGCCTTGTTCGTGTCTGAGCTGCCACAGCAGCCAGGCGGCGAGCGCGCTGGGCTCCCGGAGCGCCAGCGCTGACTTTACCTGCACAGCTTCCGGGCAAAGATCCGAGAGTGGATTTCTGCCGTATTCTGCCGCTGTTCTCAGCAAGACCTCAGTCCCGTCACCAGACCAGCGAGAAGAAACTTCACTTAACAGATAACTCGTCATGCAGCCTACATATTGTCCCTTTTCCTATTTTGCTCTAGTCCTACTTTAGGGGATAGGCCTACTTAAAAAAAATAAAATAAAAAAATATCACACCTGGGTTAAAGCAGTCGTTTAGCATTGTAAACACACAGATTCATTTCTAAGTGATTCAAGTCCAAAAAGACTCTTTATAACAAAAAAGAAGAAGACATGAATAGCTAATCACCGAAAATTTTGCAACTCACAAAAGAACTTTTCTAAAAGCTTGTGCCCTTGTGTTGTGCCAGTAGACCATTTTTTTATGGGCTGTGCTGGATTAACTTCTTCATATTTGGACAAATAACAGACCATGCAGAGTATCCATTCTGTCCCCTCAACGCCTCAATCATTGTGCCATTTCAAATTATTATTATTATTATTATTATTATTATTATTATTACTTTTTCCTATAGCCTAAATCCCACAAATTAAACCAAGAATAACAAGAGTCACATCCCATAGATTCCTGCGGCTCAAATGTCCAATATTCAGCGTGACAAACCCAGCCTGGTTACCTCGACTCCTTTGGTTTTAAGATACAAACGTGAACTAATTATGCTATCTAAATTTAGATAGCAGAAGGTCCTGCTTTTCTGCCCAGCAGCATATCTTTCTTCACTAGGCCTAATAGACTGAGATTTTGGCAGGAATAGCTTCTCCAACACCCAGCCTCTGCTCTACAGGGACACCCTTAATCAGCTAGAAGGTGCATATAATTTTGCACCGCGTCTTTCGTGTCAATTTTTATGTTAATAATGAGAGGATCATGACAAAAATTGCCAATCATGTACCTAGATGGAGCTCCTTTGAATACATGACTGTAAGAAAGTTCCTCGTTTTGAGACCCGCTGTCAAGTGCTAACAACCCGCGGAGGGAAGTCATTAGACATACAAAAGACCTGGAACAAAGCGACAGTCCTGGTACACAGAATGCACTGCAGAAGGATAATATTTGACAGATGTAGGGTTTCAAAATATTACATACAAAGCAGCCCCCCCACCCCCCCAACCTCAAATTGTGTTATCTGATAATGGGAAATACCTCGACATACAGCAGCCTCTCTTTTTTATTTACACTGCTGAACCTCATTAGGCCTATATCAAATCCAGTATTTTCATAAGTGTGTATTCCCTTTAGGACCTCTTCACTCAGCACACACACACACACACACACACACACACACACACACACACACACACACACACACACACACACACACACACACACAATGACGGGACTGAGCAAGGCGAAGGGGTTCAGACAAAATAGCCTGGCTTTACAATCTGTCTGCGCCTGTAAAAATAAAAAATAAAAATGGCTATGTGCTATTTTATTCGTTCCTTGTTGGGACATCACCAATATGTTAATTATAAAACATGTGAACTGTAAATCGTGAAATATTTTGCAAATATTATGGATAGTCCTACTGATAGTTGAAAACTGAATTATTGATCGCCATGGAAAACGCTTCATGAAATTGTGGATTGTAGGCTATTTTTTAAACACTTTTTTTAATTATTATTATTTATTTTGTGTGACTTGCTAAATGTTTTTTTTTTTGTTTTTTTGTTTTTTGTTAAAACACTGGATGTACACGCCAAAAGGACCATCACATAGCCTACAAATTGGCTTGTTAGCTCACCAATTTAGTCCAAATTCATGATTTGTATTTCGTGCAAAAATTAAGGCGGAATTATAGAGAGATGGAGAAACATTTCTTTACGGTCCACTCAAAAGAGGCTTCAAAGGGCTGATAAACGAGCACTGAAATTAAATGATGAAAATAGTACTGGCCTTTGTCCCTTGGGTCTCTGTTATAACTCTATATCTCTGTATTTAAAATATCAATGACTGTATGAATTTAAATATTTTAACTTGAAAAAAATGTGCAATATGAAATGTAAATCATGTTATTTATTGATCGTGTTTGTTCTTGGAAAATAAATAAAAAAAAATCTTTACACATTCCCGCTTCTTTACATTAATGACACAGACATTGCTGCAGAAAAAACAAACAAACAAAGTCGAGTTTGACTCTAAAATTGGATTTCGTTACACTTAGTTAACAAACTTTAACTCTAATTTAATTGCTTGAAATGATGTAAAAACTATATATACATTATCAAGACCATATATATATGATATTATATACGTTAGGCTAGACATTTTAGACGTGTGTAGGTGCTGTGACACCATTTCGAGAGAAAACACTGTCTGATATTAATTAAAAAGACGTGGAAAGCTTCAGGGAATATGAGGCCTGCCATCACGGGTCATTCCGGCCCTATAATTTACCATTATTTTTACATTACCTCTAAATGATACAAGCTGATACTGTCGTTAATTGCACTTGGTTAAAATATAGCCTACACCAGAATGCCCCCGTGGGACTTTAAGATAAGTTGCTTTTTTGAACGTCCCCATTAAAGAAATAGGATTAGGGCAGCAAATATGGGCGTGATATATCACCATGTTTCCTTGCTCTTTACTAAAGCGAGGGTTGCAACCCATACAACAAAAGCATTGAGATAGATGGAGGTGTAAAAAGGAAAAGACAAGAGGCCAGAAAAACACTGCCCACAATAACACGATTAGTTTTGTATCCAATGTGCAAGACTGAAAAAAGAATTCATCATAATGCAGAAGACTGTCTGTCACCTCCGCTGAATGGTTTTTGACAAGAAAATAAATCTTTGGGTTGTTTAATATATTTTATATTTTCTTTATTTCGGTGCTAATAGAAAAACCAAATTAAATGTCCACCAGCGAGATAGAAATGCAAAGATCGATGATCCTGCCCCTACTGTCCAATCACCCCTATTTAATTGACTGTATTTTCAGGGTAATTGAACTGCTTGTTGTAAATTGAGGATTTTATAGAAACGACATGAAAACTACATTTACTGACATTCATCGCATCTTTGACATTGATTATCTGATCAGCGCCGTGTCATGCTAACCTCCAATTCTTCATTACACACTGTTTATGAGCTGTTACAGAACAACTTGCTTGTTCCAGAGTGATTGATTGCCTTATTAACGCGTGTTCTTGTAAGTGTGACCGGACTGATTACGATGCATATGTTTAGAATAATGTTTCATTTAGCTGACTGCGAGTAATGCAGGGTGACAGCTGCTGCGGGAGGACAAAAAACCTAAACTACAGGGAGCAAGCGGGGCCAAAACGCATTTAAGGTGGAACTAGAAGACACACACAGACCCCTAATGGTCAAACGCAGTCACTCAGCGCCAGATGAAGGACTGGCAGCTCAGTAGGGTCTTCAGTGAGGCAACTGAGAACTAAAATATAACATTATTATGGCTAAAAATGACTACATGTTGTTCTTTTGTTGGTATTAATGGTTTAGAAGCAGGAAGCTTGCATCCACAACTGTGAGATTACACTCCAACATAGCTCAGCCCTCCTTTCTTAAAAACATATTGTCCCCCACATTTTAATCTGGTGCAGCAACAGTATTTACAACTGACATACCAGCTGTTACATCCAAACATTCAAATCAATCAAACACTGCCAAAAGGCATACCAGCAATTCACACCTAAAATCCGCTTCAGGTTGGAAATTTTCTTATCCCTTTAGTTGGATTTTATTTTTATTTTTTTTCTCCCCCAAAATGTAAGGAAAAGGAGCACTATGAACTGCAGCCTGACGAGATTTATGCCACCATTATGCTTCTAAAGTAGTCTCTGCTCTGTTTGTCTCAAATCATTGCCTCTGTTCAAATGTTACTTTCATATATTACATGACATTAATTCAACTATAGCTCATTAAGACAGAATGAAATGGTTAAATTAACTTATCAACTCATAATGATGATGAATGAGGTATTAATTCAGATACAAGCTGGGCAATTTGCAATTTTGCGCGTTTTGATGGTTCTCAAATAACATTTAATATAACGGGTCATCCCCTCAATCAATTACATGAGCATATGAGTCGGTCGTATGGAAAATCCTTTTTTCATGCATATGTATCGAAACATGTTCTCAATTATCTTTGGAAATTGCTTTTATTGGCTTAAAGACTAATTCTTCCAGTGGCCCATAGCTTGGGATATGGTTAAGGTGGTACAACAAATTGTTCTTGAAACATAGCCTGGCACAACTATATTATAAATAGAAGTTTTTGTTTAATATTAGATTTATTTTACATTGTGTTTAAGAAATTCAAAAAGTAAAACATTTCTAAAAGACAGTTTTTAGGGAAATATAATATTTTATATGGACCATATCTATATATGGATTTATATTATATAGTGGAAATAATTTCTGGTCAAAACAACAAATAATTTTTGTCTTTAAAAAAGAGAAAAGGTGAAGGATGAGTTTAGGTGGGAAGATATCTCTGGCACAACTGAACTGTGCACCAACGTGTCTCTTATAAGAACCTTTACAGTTAAAAATAATGACCCAAAACATCAAGTTGTCGTCAAGATTCCCAAGTTTATCAAATTAGTTTATCAAGTTTATCAAATTATGCATGGTTATTTTTTTTTAACATAATAATAAAATAGTTTTATACATGATCAATTTCCACATAAAACATTTTCCACTGTATTGTGAAAACTGTGGGTCCCAGGTTGACCTTACTGAGATTCACTTTGCCCCTTTCTCTTACTGGATGAGTGTAGTTGTTGCTCTATGGGAACTTCTTGCTACAAACCATTATTGGTTATAGTGAACATCTCCTAAAGTCTGAGTGATTTTGGGTTAGTTTTTAATTCATTGTAATTTGATCACAATTTCTTTCAGCATACTTTTATCTTGAGACAGCATTTGCCAGTATAAATAATTTTCACTTCTATGGTTCGTTTCATTACAGTTGTTATGTTGTGGACTTGTCTCTGGTGTAATTCTTTAATGAGCCTGGGTCCCAAGAGGTTTCTTTCACATTTTAGTTTGACAAAATATGTAGAAGTGAAGCCTTGAATTATTTAAGGCTTATGTAAAAGACAAGTAATATAATTTCTCCAGCAAGGAGACTAAAGATAAGAAAGGATCCTGACCCGCAGCTTGTGGCTATAGAAGTATTTTTAAATCAATGTTCAACAATGAGCTCATTTATAGAGGTTGATGGACTCAAACAAGTGTGCAGCTTTTTTTCCCCCACAAGATGCTGTGAGAATACATCTCCCCAGTGACCACTTCACTGTTGGGACTTTATTGTTATCTGAAGATGTTAAAGTGAAAATGGAGAGAGCGCTAAAGAAATGACACATCTCCTAATGTGTGTATGCAGGCTCATTTGCTATGTCTAATCATGGCTTTTGAAATGTTCCTGATCTGTCTCTGAATACAAAGCAGGAAAGCAAAAAATGTAATATAATATTGAAACATAGCATAACCCTACCTTCAAGTTTGTATATTAAATCATGACTAAAATGGGTCTTGTGTATACTTTGTATCAGCTGTTCTGTTTCCACATATTCAACTGTTCAGATGTTATTATAAATAATTGGTCCATATTAAGAGTTAAAACTAGTCACATTGTAACAGTTTGTGACCACAGTATGTGCAGCACAAAAGATATACAAAGTAAAAAAAGATTTGACGGATTATATAGCAGTCTGTCATCCCCTCAACAACAGCATTTGGTTGAAACAGATTAAAACACTCTTGGTTTGTGTTCAGTGGCAAAGCAGGAAGTTGAAAGTATGACGTTCACATAACGCTAAAAGGGGAGCTGGCCGGGGTGGATGGAGAATAGAGAAAGTGCTATTATATGATACTCTACGCCAAAAGTTTTATGCATCAAATACTTGTTCCCATAAGGTAGCTGTAAAATGTTGTGGTTCTCTCTTTCATACCAAACAGTGGCCGTGTGCAACTTGAATTCATGTCAATGGCTGTAAACAGATTCCAGTGGTGAGTTTTCCTTCTGAGAAAAAGTATAAACACAATGCTCAATGTGTTCAAGACGGTCTGCTAAATATGACCAAATACATTCTCCAGCAGACCTTTAAGGAGGATTGCATGGAAACAATGTATTAAGCCATATTCTTTTCAACAAATGGCAATAGTGTGGCTCTAGAGATGGCAATGTCGGTCTGATGGTCAGTCTGTGGACCACTTTGGTACGGACCGAAATATGTCAACAACGTTTGGACGGACATAGCACAAAATTTGGTACAGACATTTATGGTTACCATATGATGACGTATCCTAATGACTGTTGATACCCTGACTTTTCATCTAGTGGCACTATGAGGTAGAAATTTGTGGTTTCTGAGAGTCTAGTATTGTCTTTTCAGCTACTAGAAGGACAGCCTGTTATTCTGAAAGCAAACACCCGTTGCTCCAAAGGCCCATCGTTCTGAAAATACACACTCTGGTATCACCACGTAGCCTAACTAATGTACTTATTTTAATCCCTACCCTGATCTGTTCCTAAACCTAACCAAGTAGTTTTGATGTCTAGACCTAACCTAAAATTTTACCATTTAACAATGTTAACCACGTATTTATTATTGTTAGCATGATGACAAAAGGTCACCGGACTTTGTCCCTACTGCACGTCCAAATACACGAAATTAAAGGCAAAAAGTGGGAAACAGGCCTTCGAAGCAATGCGCTTTTGTTTTTGGAAGAACAGGCTGTTGGACAAATGGGCTTCAAGTCCAATGGAACATTTCTCTGACTATTGGGGTTTGTAACAATGTTTTGTCTAAAATTTAGTACAAATATCTTTTGTTTTCCCCAGCATGAAATGTGATAATTTTCCTCTAGCGCCATCATCAGGTCAAAATAAAATAAAAAATAATTAATTTTTGACCAAATACCTGCAAAACCAATGACATACAACATGGCTGTAAACTCTTAGCTTCAGGGACATAATCTTACCCCTCGAAAGTCCCTGCTTTGGTATTACTTATCAAAAGTAGAGGAAATGTGGGGATGGGGCTTGCAGTGAATGTGCAACATCTGGCCTAATACAAGCAGAAACATA